TTGTAATAAAAGGGAAGGAAACAGCCGGGACAAAGCCGATTTCCTATATGCGAGAAAAAAGGCATGGTTTCATAAGTCACCAGGAGAACTTATAATAATTTAACAAATTTACATGACAGAATTCATATGGCTTACGATGTAAATTTTTCCTTTAACCTTGTTTCTGTATTCGAGCAAAGATCATATTTCCGTTGCTTAAACCGACTTAAACGACCGCATACGCTCATTAACCTTCTGTGCTTCGGCGAGGCCATCTATTCAAAATGTAAACATCGCTGAGCAACAAAATTCAGTCCCCGCGGTAAAACCAAAGTACAAGTAATATGACTATCAAAGAAGAACAAAAGGACGAAAGAGTAAAAAAGAATAAATATCGGTTTCGATGAACCTTATCGCTGAAGTTGTTTTAGGCAAACGTTAATTTCCCTCAGTTTTTTTAACCAATCTTTGGCTCTGAGCCCAAACTTTTAATATAAGAAATGAACAGACAAAGCAACGAAATTAAGCTTTAATTAGTTAGTTCTTTGGCTCTGAGCCCAAACTTTTAATATAAGAACTGAACAGACAAAGCAACGAAATTAAGCTTTAATTAGTTAGTTTATATTGAAATCCATTAAGAGAGAAATACGCTTCTTGCCTTAAGTCTTGTACATCTTTTCGTGGAGTTAATTTCACTAACTTGTTAATTTATTTATAACACCAAACTTCCCTGTTGAAAGTACTCCGTTTACTGACTCTCCGAAGAAGTACAACCGAACTTGAATTAAGCGGTCAACTTATATTGTGAGCGCTGAATACAAGTTCGACTATTGTACTGTTATAGTGCGGAGCTTAAGCTACGGCGGTGCAACTTGATTATGGCGCCCTGGGCGCCGTAGAGAAACAACTGAGGAAATTTTTAAGACCCTGGCGGTAATGTTCAATGAATATAAAACAGATACAGGGGTTTACAGCACAGTATGAGTACATCAAAAATCGGACAATCTGCGTGAAATAATGAAATCCACAAGACCATATCACTGTTTTGTCTGATGAATAGAAGTACACCAACCACCAGATACTGAGTGGCAGCCAGCCCATTGAAAATGCTGACACGATAGCAATAGAGGTCTTCCCAACGATTTTCGCTCTCTTTAAACGTTGTTCTCTCCCGCTGACTGATTGTTCGCCCGCAGTTTTCTGAGATTTGATTGTTAAAGCGATGGTAAGGTAAAGTATGGTGATCAATATTAATGGGACATAAAAGACGACGGCGATCATTGCCACAGTATAGTGTTTGAGGTACGGAGACCACAGCGGCGTACATTCCAGCCCGTCTGGATACTCTAAAACCTCAAAGAAGAACAGAATCGGGCACCTAACAACCATGGCAATGATCCAAGTGGCGAGAATGAAGAAGCGGCACTTGTTTAAACTGATCAGTGGGGAACGGAGGGGAAAAACTACAGTTCCAAATCGATCGACTGCGATAAGAACCAGACTCTGAGATGAAACAACAGTGGAGACTTCTATTGAGAAGGAGGCAAGCTTACACAATGCCTGCCCGAGAGGACCGCTGACCAACCAGGAGTCGCTGATGAATAATGAAGCTATATCACGAGGAAGCATGGAAATCGGATACACCAGATCTGACATGGCCATGTTTGCAATAAAATAGTTGACTGGCTTTTTCAGGGATTTCGTCTTGTAGACAATTATTCCAATAAAGATGTTTCCAACCAATGAAATTAGAGATATCGGAAAAAATGCAGCGATGTAAGCGATCCTTAGTACTTCGTAATCAAAGCAGGACGACACGCTCTGTGTTTCATTTACCACAGCAGTCTCATTCACCGTCATTCTTGGAGCTGAAATACTAGTTCTTCTTCAGAGCAGTCCTCAGGAAGCTACCTATATCCTCAGTAAAGAAAACAAAGCTGACTCACAGTTTTTACCGAGCTACTCTTTCAAAATAGCTGCATCCACTCTGTAAAACCAATCAACGTTTGGTCGTTTGGGGGAAACAATCTTATTCAGGTACGGATCCAAAAGTTATTCTCGACATATAAATTTCTGGAAGAAAGATGTTTTCGTCTTGTCACGAGCGTGCGACAAAGAAAAAAGTCTTAGTCCCTTTGCGGCATCCGATTATCGGTTTCTTCTTCGGCCAACAGTTCTCTGTCTGACTCTGAATCCTACCTATGCTTTATGAAAGAAAACACAGGTGATTGTTTACATATATACTGATAATATTAATGAATTCATAAATTTCGTCAGAGTCCTTAGTCGTATGCCAAGAGTTCTTAATTGAAAGGCTGCCTAAACCCTATTTAAATAAAGCAGAGACGACTGTCTACGTATACATTAAAAATTGATTAACTAAGTATCTTCAGATATCATTTTACTTTCAGTTAATTTCGACTTATAGTCTGTACTCAAAAAAAGATTTTGAATTCTATAATTTTTTCTAACCTTTTGGTATGATTGGTAAATGGTGAAAACAACAATTTTAGAGAAATGTATTTAAATATTGAAGAGTTTTAAGCCGTCATGCAAATTTCCTTGAAAATTCTTTGAGCTTTCTATGAGAAAGGAAGTTGTTCTAAAACAGAGAAGTTTAAGCGTGACGTTAACGGCAAATAGTATTGCAAAAGGCGACTATGCAACGTTTTTCCGTCTGCTTTCAGCTTTTTGCACTTTTAAACGACAAAAATTCGCACAAGCCGTGAACAAGATTAGCCTTCTCTTCTAATTTTACTCAAGATATTTTGGAGGATTACAGCAAATATGATATCTCTGTTGCTTTAATAGAATCGACTGCATACACTCATCAAGCTTCTGTGCTTCGGCGAGGCTAGCTATTCAAAATGTAAACATCGTCGAGCGAAAAATTTCAGTCCCCGCGGTGAAACAAGGAAGAACAAAAGGACGAGAGAGTGAAAACGAATAAATATCGGTTTTGATAAACCGTATCCCTGAACTTGTTTCAGGCAAACGATAATTTCCCCTTTTTTAACCAATCTTTGGCTCTGAACTCAAACTTTTAGTAAATAAAAGCAGAGTGACCGAGATTTTGAAAGTCATCACAAATATTAACGAGATTCAGTTTCGAGATCGGATAAAAGGTTTTGAGACTCTCGATTTTGGGAGGTATCCGATTCACATCGTCTGTCATTTTGTAGGGCATAACTCCTGGATCTACGTCTCGAGAAAAATATCATCAGTTTCCTCCAAACGTGCGGTCGTTCATTGTTGTACTTAGTGGATTTATCTTTTGAACGAACCTTCGCCAAAACTCATAAGAGATTCAGTCACGCTACAAAGATAAGGTATGGGAAGCTGTTTTTCTACTACTTTATACACGGTTTTGGGCAATGAATAACTCATGATACTTTTCAGAGACTGAATGAAATGTTTTCGGTTGACTCCTTTTAGAAACCGTGCTAAGCAACTGTTATAAGTGCATGTCTTTGGACACAAGGATTCGTTTCTTTCTTTTGTATATCAATTTATAATTCTCTAAAACTGATTTCACCACTGATCGTCTTACTACTAAGTATTTTTATGAAGGTGGTAACAATAACTCTCATGTTAAATGTTATTTGTTAGTAATCAGCTTTGTTTTCTTTATTGAGAATATAGATAGCCTCCTGAAAACTGCTCTGAAGAAGAACTGGTATCTCAGTTCCAAGAATGTCGGTAGATGAGACTGTAATGATAAATGGAACACAGACTGTATTGTCCTACTTTGATTACGAAGTACTAAGGATCGCTCACAGTGCTGCATTTTTTCCGGTATTTCTAGTTTCATTAGTTGGAAACATCCTTATTGGAAAAATTGTCTACAAGAAGAAATCCTTGAAAAAGCCAGTCAACTTTTTTATTGTAAACATGGCCATGTCAGATCTGGTGTATCCGATTTCCATGCTTCCTCGTGACGTAGCTTTATTGTTCATCAGCAGCTCCTGGTTGGTCAGCGGTCCTCTCGGCCAAGCATTGTGTAAGCTTGCCTCCTTCTCAATAGAAGTCTCCATTCTTGTTTCATCTCAGATGCTGGTTCTTATCGCAGTCGATCGATTTGGAACTGTGGTTTTTCCCCTCCGTTCCCCACTGATCAGTTCAAACCAGTGCCGGTTCTTCATTCTCGCCACTTGGGTCATTGCCATGGTTGTCAGGTGCCCCGTTTTGTTCTTCTTTAAAGTTTTGGAGTATCCAGACGGTCTGGTATGTACGCCATTGTGGTCTCCCTACTTCAAACACTATACTGTGGCGATGATCGCCGTTGTCTTTTATGTCCCATTAGTTTTGATCACCATACTTTACCTAACCATCGCTATAACAATCAAATCTCAGAAAACTGCGGGCGAACAATCAGTCAGCAGAAGAGGACAACGTATAAAGAGAGAGAAAATCATCCTGAAGATCTCTATTGCTATCGTGTCAGCATTTACAATGGGCTGGCTGCCACTCAGTATCTGGTGGTTGGTGTACTTCTATTCATCAGACAAAACAGTGATATGGTCTTGTGGATTTCACTAAATTTTTTTTATTTATTGTACCTCTTTTTTATTTCGACTGATAACATAACGAGTGACGAAACCAATCTCTGAAGTCTGTTACATGCCATGCAAACGGCCCGGTCAAATTTTTTATAAATAAAAACAGATGATAATATTTACCTTACAATCATTAGCAAATCAAAAATAGATTTTTGATGGAGTTTATCAAGAAATTAATCCCTTTGTGGGCGTGAATAATTTAAGAAAATAGCTTGGGAATCAAACCAAGGTGTAATTTGATTAAGCGTTTGACCAACAGAGAAGCAACTGAAGAGATTTTTAAGACCTTGACGATAGTTTCCACAAATACGGCAATAACCCCAAAGAATTGAAAGCCACACGATGATATTGATCTGACTGAAGAATAGAGGAACAACAGCCACCAAATGCTGAATGGCACCCAACATACTGCGAACACCAATACAATTGCAATGCACATCTTCAGAACATTTCTTTCTCTCTTTAACGTTGTTCTCTAACGTTGACCGATTGCAAGCCTATAATCCTTTTGGTTTTTATTTTTAAAGCAATAATAAGGTACAGAATGCCAATAAAAACCAAAGGAAAATACAGATATATAATAGTCATCGCGGCAGAAAAGGTTTTTTTAAGTGAAGACTCTCCAACTGCCGCTTTCCACCGCCTCACACACGCCAGCCCCTCTGGATGCTCCACAACTTTCCAAGTAAACAGGGATGGGCAGAAGACAACCATAGCGATGATCCGAGTGGCGAGAATGAAGAACCGACAGCGCTTTGAACTAATCAGTGGGGAACTAAGGGGAAATACCACAGCTCCAAATCGATCTACTGCTATTGTAACGAGACTCTGAATGGACACAGCACTTGACACATCAACTAAATAACCAGACAGCTTACATAATGCTTGGCCAAGAGGACCATCGATCAGCCAGGTATTAGTATTCAACTGAACTAAAACCTGAGGGATCAGGAAAATAGGAAACAGCAGATCAGATATGGCCATGTTTGCAATAAAATAGTTGACGGGATTTCTCAGACCTCGGGTTTTGTACACAACAATTCCAATCAAGGCGTTTCCAGTCAGCGAAACAGCAAATACCAGACAGTAAGCAGAAGTGTAACTAATTCTTTCTACTGAGAGGTTGGAGCAACTCGCCATAGATTGTATTCCAGTTGCCGCCACGTTTGCTGACATTCTCACAACAAAGAGATAAGTATCTTCTTCAGCCGGCAGTTTTGCGACTCAGAAGATTACCTACCTATACTCTATTGACATAAAACACGCGTACAGCGGATTATTTACATAATTGTATAATAAAATCATATTCAGACCTGATTATCTACATAGAAATTAAGAACAAGTCTCAGTAAGAATCAAACATCTTGGGAAATGCAAATTTTCAACCCTCCTTCAAATTTTGCATGCAGTTAGGCTCTCAAGGGGGATGCACAAAAATGCCATTTTTAAAGGTTGCAGCACTCTTGTTGAAAAATCATAAAAAAGTCCGAAATAAAAGATTTAATGAAATCATAATATCCACCTTTCAAACAACTCATTATCCACACGCAAATCACAACTCGTCGTCTCCGAAACTCTGGATTGCTTCATGTCCTTCAGGAAAAAGAACAGCAATTTCATCACCATTATTTTACATACCTTTCTCCCGGATATCTTTACAAACTTAAAGAAAGATGAGTATAACGCAATCTCCCAGTGATTTACACGAGAAGAAGTCAAAGGTCTCTTTGAGTTTCCCCTGAGGTGGCCGGCTCACCAGGAAGAAACAGGAGATCGTTCGGTCCAACTGAACGTTAGCCTGCGGGGATCACCAAGCTAATAACTGACAAGATTGTGCCCTTTGGTTCATCAGTGACAGCATTAATTATTTCAAATCTGTATTTCTCGGTCGTATAATATCCTATTACTTTGCGAATCATTTGCAACCAATCCTAAAGTTAAGAGAGTAGATCCGATTTTGAAAAGTTTGTTCACCATGATATTCACCTGAGAAAAGACTTTCTGATATTAAAAGAAAGTTTAAGGCAACTGGAGTTCTCGATGGCTTTGAGGCAGTTAATATTGGATCAAAAAATTTCAAGTAATAAATAGATTTCCTGTTTCAAAGACGAGAAGAAAAATGATGCCTCTTTATTTTATTTAACATCGTGTTTCCATTCTGCATTGTCATCTTGAAAGGGAATACTATTTCATATCATGACAATTATGGTAATGATACAAACTCGACTCAGCTACTGATAAACATTTTAGATGTCTTTTGTCCACTACATCATATGTGTCTCCTAATGTGTAACGTTTCGGTCAAAAGACTCCTAAATTTCAAATAAAGTCCTTAAATTAGGTGATCAGATTAATATAGCTCACAAAAACATTCGTTGTGCAAAAGTTCAAACAACGGTTTGACCTTTGAACAAAGCTTCTCTATTGATAAGTTTATTTATTTTTCGTTAATTAATGATTTAAAAAAATGTAACTTTCGAATCTTTAATTACCTTGCTGACTTTATCGTAATCTGAAATTAAAACACTCAGTAAAAAATTATTCCTTAGGTGAAGTAAAGTTTTAGAGTCCTGGGGGTCACACTACGGTGCATCTCGATCAACGTCAGAACCAAAAGAAGAGCAACTGAGAATATTCTTGAGACCTCGACTATAATGTCCACCAAAGCATATACAGATCCAAGGGTTTATCGCACAGTTCGACTTGGCTAGAAATAAGGAAACAGACCAGAAGTAATAGAAGCCACAAGATGATGTTATTGTTCGGTCTGAGTTGAAGAACATGAACCAAACAATACTTAGGGGCAGCCAGCACAATGCAAACCCCAACACAATGGCGACGGACAGTTTAAGAACATTTCGCTTTCTTTTCAAGCGTTTTTCTCTTGTGTTAGTTGATTGCTCTCTTGGAATCTTCTGGGATTTGATTTTTAACGTAATGGCAGAGTAAAGTATTGTGATCAAAACCAAAGGGACATAAAAAATTACAACTTGCATCACCAAAACGAAGTTTTTGTAGGACGACGACTCTCCTAATGCGTCCTCCCAATCAGCCACACACGCCAGCCCCTCTGGAGACTCGACAACTTTCGAGGCGAACAGCTTTGGGCAAAAGATAGCCATAGCGATGAACCAGGTGGCGAGAATGAAGACCCGGCATCGCTTTAAATTAATCAGCGGGGAACAAAGGGGAAACATCACAGCTCCAAATCGATCGACCGCTATTAAAACCAGGCTTTGAATAGACACAATAAAGGACAGATTAGATGCATAGATACTCAGCTTACATAACACTTGACCAAGCGGACCGCCTATCAGCCAGGAGCGAGTGTATGTCAAAACCAATTCACGAGGAAAAAGGAAAATCGGAACAAGCATATCGGACATGGCCATGTTAACAATCAAGAAATTAATAGGCTTTCTTAGAGTTTTTGTCTTGAAGACAATAATTGCGATGAAGGTATTTCCAACCACCGAAACAAGAAATAGCAAGCAGTAAGCAAAGGTTTCACCGATTCTTCTCGCCGTGGGGTTGAAGCAGCTCGACATGGACTGTGTTCCATTCATCGTTGCACTCACGTTTTCTGACATTCTTGAGAGATCTGTTCTTATTCAGTCAGTGGTTAACTGGAGGCTGCCTCTACTCTTTTTAAAGAAAACACAGCGGATTATTTAGACAAACTTTAAAATTGTGTTATTTCGCTCCCTCCATGCGAACCGTCATACTGTATTCATTGGAAAAAATCGAAAAACAGTAAAAGAGTGCACTTACCTTATGAAAAAACCTCACAGTTTTAGCCGAACTATTCTTTCAAGAAAGCTTCATCCACTCTGTAAAACCAATCAACAATTAGTTATTTGAAGGAAAAAATCTTTTTCAGGTACGGATCCAAAAGTTATTCTTAACATAAAGATTTCTGGAAGAAAGATGCTTGCGTCTTGTGCTAAGGAAGGAATTGATGAAGTTTAAAAAGCGCAAAACTTCTTTCAGTTCTCGATCAACCATTTTCTTAATTCAGTCAAACCCTAATGTCCCACCTCTTTGATATCTCTGTTTATTTCTCATGTCAAAAAATAAACGAATGTTGTTCTTTCCATTACTCTCAATATATTTTCATATCTTTTCGTTTAATAACCATTTCAGGCATACTCATTCAAAATACACGTTAACTTGCTTTTGATTGTAAAAAAGAGGATTTTAATTATATGTTTTCGGGTCTTTAACAAGGCGGGGACGGGTTAAGTTTTCACGAACACAATGGTCATGAAAGAGCTGTGGCTACGTGATGTGTTTTGTCTTTATTAGCTAGAAGCTCCGTGTGATCAATTCGATCTTATTTCTATCTGATCCTTTTTCCTCTTGGGAAAATTTCAACGACAGCACTCTACAGAAATTAACGATTGGTTCATACGTCAGCGTGCGTTCATCGAGATATGAAGCACGCGGAAAGTTTGGAGAGCACAAAAGATGTGTAAGAGTTGCTCGAGGCGTAGCCGAGAGGAACTCTAGCTTCTTGAGTGCTCTCCAAACTTCCCAAGTGCTTCATATCTTGATGAACGCACAGCTGACATATGAACCAATTGTTTTATAACACTTTCAACCCGATGGAAAATTTTTTTCCTCGAGGGATTTGTTTGTTGACGTCATGAGCGTGCACAATAGGAATATGAAGTACGCCCGCGCAATTGAATTTGAGAAGACAAATTTACGAGCTATGTTATAAAAAGGTTTACAAAATATGTACCTAGAATTATATATATCAAACGGTCAATAAGCCATAATTATTCTAAATAATGGTTTAAGCCGTCATGCAAATTTCCCTAAAAATTCTTTGAGCTGCCAGTTAGGTATATACATGAAGTCGTTCGGTCTGAATTGACTTTTTTCTGAGGATTTTGAAGATGTTGATTCATTTCAACTTCCTTGGCCGGTCATTTTGAATGAGCAAGTGCCAGAATATCAGTAGAGAAGTAGAGACGCAGATCCAGGAGTTATGCCCGACAAAATAACAGATGGTGTGAATCGGATACCTTCAAAAATCGTGAGTCTCGAAAATTTTTATCCGATCTCGAAACTAAATCTCTTTAACATTTTTGATGACTTTCAACTTCACGTTCTCTCTGCTTTTTCTTCCGGTACGGAAGCCTTGTAATAGTCGGAGACCTCTGTAAAAAGGCAAACAGAGGAGCTTAAAGTTGTGAGCGACAAAAATCTGTGTATTTCATATTGCTTTCGCTGCAAATTATAGCAAAGAAAATTCGATACATCGTAGAATCGAACACTAAGGCAGTCTCCCATCTCTTCCTGTCATTTATTTCCTCGCGATAATCTGAACAAAGGGAAGGTAATAGTTTGGTATTGTATGGCTAAAATTGCTGATTTCTGGACCCTTTTATTTTCAGCCGCCACACTTGAAAAATTTTTTGTCCTGACAGTATTTTTTTTCTATTTGCAAGAAAGTTTTTGACAGGATGCCATTACTGTTGTTGAATCTGTTCGATAATCAGTGTGTCTTTTACGTCAGTTAGGAACTATGTACATTTTATGGCCTTTCTGATACTGAAAAGTACACACAATTCGTGATGTATTCATGAATAAGCACAATATCATTGACAGTTTTTTTAATGACATGTTCCGGCCTTCCAGTGTAGGGAAAAGCTGTAGGTGTCCTATCTTGGGCTCAAAAAGTGAAATTGTAGTTAGAATGTACACAGACAAAATGAGCTGTGTTTTTCGTTTTTATTATTTGGTTCACCAAATATTGGAAAAGTGAAGAGACATCGAGCATTGGAACTTAGCCATCGGATTTGGAATCAGATGGGAATCCAATTTGTAAAGGTTACAATTTATTTTAAATAGCAAAGTATTCGGTCAACTTCTTTCAAATCTAATGGACAAACTGAAAGAGACCTCAAGCTCAGGTGCCAGCCCTGGAACTAAAGTGAAGAACAAGCCTTCCTTTGTGCTGTGAGTCAATTACTTGCTAACTGTGAGGAACCGATTAAATAATTTTGAGGCACTGTATACTCTTACCCTGACCTATCTCGACTTGCCACCTCCTCATCTGATTTTTAATATATGATTGGTCACAAATAAAAAGCACTTTGTGACCACTCATGTGTTACAAATCAAAATACGTCACGATCATGTTAAAAATCTTGTTTTTATTTCTTTTT